GAAAAATAAAACAAATAAATGGTGACAATTTTTTTTTACAAGCATTCAAAGTTTGAATTTTGACAACATACGTAAAACTCACGAAAATTCGCATATTATTATAAKCTAGAAATTCATACAAATTTTACTTTTTAAATCTAAGATTTGAACATTTTTAATAATCTATAATATATCCTACACAGATAAACCGTCTCCGCTCACAATCGTTTTTCGTATAAAATTATATAATATCATTGGATTAAAATTTAATTCCATCCATTACAGTAACCCACTTGTAACCTATACTGTACAGCAGAGCGACATTCACGACTTCCCGCCTTTTTTYAGTATGGCCATCCTCTTACCCCCGTATTTTTATTAGACTAAATGTATGCCAAAACCTGCTTCACAATGTACTCTTTCATTTAAAAACAAAAATTAAGTAGATCTGATAAGTAGTTCCAGAGTTTACTTCGTACAAAGATTTTTATTTCACGTTTATATACTCGTAGTTAGATATTATAAAACGTTTTATAAACATACAAGAATATTATCATYTTTAGTTATATTAAAACAGATCTTTAAATAAAAAAAACTTATCATTCTAATCTCTAGATACATTTTCAATTTACTATAGTAATTAATATTTTTTTTTAAATTCACTTATTTTACTTTTTATCAGATATTTATTCCATTCATAAGTACGGTGAAATAGGAAAACAATTAGAAAGTAAAGACTCATAGCAAGGTTTAACGTTCCAATGTAAAATGAATGGCGGAATTAATATCTAGTAAATTCGACACAAAATCAACGGAATCGATAGTTCACCATTTTTTTTAAGGACCCAAGCCAAATTGAAATCAAAACGTTTTTTTTTTTAGAGTTAAATCTTCTTTATATTTTGTGTTATTTCTCATTCAAGCAATACGCTTTGTCAGATATGTAGCTTTATATGTTGATAAAATTTAAACATAACTACAGMAGACTGTGCTTTATTGGTGATATGACCATCTTTTACAAATAAAATAAATAGTTTATCAGGAATTAAATTATAAAAGAGGTAAACTAAAACGGCAATTAATCACAATGAGTGACACTCAGTTAAATATACCACGTTTAGTTACGTGAAAAAATTTCACCAAACCATCTYTTGTTAATATTAGCTTCYAACGAAAATTCTATTTAAAGTAACACTGTCAAAACAATTTCATCTCAAAAGTAATCCACTACTAATGATATAAATGAATCTTTCTACATCTCAAATATATAAAAATAAAACACTCAGGTTAAAAGTTTTGCTGAAAAAACCGTTAATTCCTTTATTTCCTAAAATGAACCTGCAAGCTACCAAGCTATAGGTAGTTGCTTAATTCAATAGACGGAATCAAGAAAATACAATATATCATCGCAGGAATTACATTACTAAAGTAACTAACATTATTTCTGCATCACGTAAATCTAATAAATATACTTTTCATTTTTCTTAAAAACCAGCAAATATTCGACGGCATAATCAATAAGCCCATTTAAACATATTATTTTACCAAATGTCTACCCCGTATTTCTTAATAATATTATTGAAGTGCTCGAAATTTTGGGATTAAACAAATTTAAATAACTATATCATTAAAGGCTGGATTTTAGTACTCTCGTGTATAATAAGTTTCTGTGAACAATCATTTAAAAAAGCCACTGACTTTTCAACACTCCAATATCTAATCTTCATCACCGCGATAACATAATTATGTGCTTCCTATATGTGTACATTAACTGGATAACTATYCTCCTCGAGCAAAAATATAATTATCTATAATAACTTATCTTTACCTGAAAAATAGACACCTAAAAMTATATTTACCTAACACTTATAATACTGCCGGGCATATTATAGAAAGATATACTAGTAACGTGTCATATTACAAACAATTATTACAGAAAAAAAATAGGTATGTAAAAATAATGGACACACACGAAAAATTGGATAATTATTAAAGATCAGTCTCAGAATCCCTTATCACCGYTATATTATTCTATTTTTACTGTTTAATACTAGAAAAAGTTGAATATTTAACATCCAAATATAACACTATATTAAATATTATGACCGAAAAACCACTAAAATCCTATTTAAGATCTAATTTCTCAAAATTCAACAAAAAATGAATGAACGAGCAAATTCTCAATMAAAAATATAAATATATGGACATCAAAAAAAGATTGGAACAGATGCACCTATAGATTATGTACTAAAAATAGTAGAAAAAAGGATAAGATATGACATTGTATTTACCAAAATTACAAAATTATCTAACCACTTATTTCTTATATATAAATAAATAATATATTTAAACTCGTTTTTAATTTTAAACTTTAAGGGTGTTAGTAATATTGATACAAATTGGATTAATAAATTCTTTAAATAAAAAATAAAAATTGAAATTAATACTATGTTAATATTTTGTAGTGGAAGAGAGACCCAAACATTCGGTAGTCACCAGAAACCCACCAGGATGCCAATCAAGTCGAAGGATATCAAGAACGAGCCGGAGAAGCAGTTCAATTGGCTGCCGATCTTTAATGATTGGAAGGCGATCGTCTGCTGGCCTACTTGCTTGGACTAGTTGTCAGGATCCTTCTAGGGTAAGTATAAATTTACTGACAACCTAAACACCGTATCTTTACCTTTACATATTTTCATCTATTCATTCCTACATTAGGTAGTATTTAAATTTAAGATTACATTCAGCTTCTCTACGAATGGATATTTATATAATATGTACTTTTAACTTTTATCATCAATTACTATTTATTAATTTTTGATTTTGGTTTTCATTTATCAGTATGTTTTTTTTTATAAAAAAGTTAATTTAATATTATTGATAGTTCATAAACTACAGCAAAGTTATTTTATCTAAACAATTTATTTGTAAAATTCGATAATAAAAACTGCTGACTGAAACACGATCGTTTGTATTGATGTTTAGATTCTGTGCCATAAAGTCAACAAAAGTAAAATGTGAAAACCTAATATCACTGTGCCTAACTGGCGTTGCATAAGCGTAAACAGTTGGTATAATCGCGTTCGGCGTGAAAGTCATTAGAGGTAATCCGTTTTGTTAAACTCAGTGGCCTTCTCATTAGCTTTTAGAAATAGGAAAACCAGGTATAGCTTAAGACTATAAGCCTTTCTTGTCTCGGTTTTCGCTATAAAAGATGCCTACTAAGACACTAATGAATTGCAAACCTTAAGACATTTTCAATACCATGAATGATGTGGTATCAATCATGATACTTTGAAAGTCTGACGTAAACATGCTGACAATCTTATGAATCGATGCGAGAATGTAGMACAAGGATAAACTTTGATCGAACCATAAAAAACCTTTACAAATTTWAAAAAAATAACACCGTCAAAGTAGGTGTTACAAAGGGTAAAATATTTTTTGAAAAGTCCAAAAACTAAATAATAAAAAGTTTTYTGTTTGATAAATATATTATTATTGTTATTGTATATAACATAATTACTTATGAGATATAATATGTAACAAATAACGGTATATTATGTATACATTGTAATTATAT